TCACTACATCAAAAACTGATGATGTATTGTATGGTGACTAACATAATAAAATTTAATTTAAAAAATTAAAAATTTAAAAAAACATTAAAATTTGGCAATTCCTGGGAGGATATAACACTCACTCTCTTTAAAAATTCTTAGCTGTACTCAGTCATTTATTCTTACTGAAAGAATCAATGTATTCATTTAAGCAAACTTCAGAATCAATGTATCAGCTTTCTCATAAAACTTATTTGAGACTTTTATTAAGTCTACATTAAACTTTTAATTATTGGGAAAGAACTGGTATTTTAATATATAAATGCAACCTCAAGGAGAAGGATAAATCTTTCCAGTAATTCAATTTTGAAAAGTACCTCTCTTGGTAAAGAGTTTTAGTTTAGTTTTGGTTTGGCTTTGTTTTTTACATAAGTCCATACCATAGCTTGATAGATGTGTTCCTGGACATTGTATCTTTTTATTGATGAGATCATGGTTTAATTGTTGTTAGCCTAAAGGAGAGTTTTTTTTTAACATTAAAAGCTTGTTCTAATAGTAAAAAATGTAATTATGACACAAAATCAGACATTTAACTGAATTATCTTACAGAGAGCCTCACAGAATTATTCTTTTGGATTTCCTAGATCTATCATCAGATTGTCTATGCTCTTCCTTTCTAATAGGGTTATTACCGTTTCAGGTTCATGTCTTCTTCTGTTCATTGATATTTTGGCTACATGTCTTAGTACATTAACAAGGTCATCCAGAAGAGTAAACACAGTAATGACAATAGCAAGGACCCTTGGCTTATTTCTAATCTTAATGGGAATTAAGCTTTGGTTTTCTCATCTGTAAAGTGAGAACATTAACAGTAACCTGATTATGCTAACTCTGAACATGTCTCCTTGAAGACAAAAGATGATACCAAATCCTTTCTAGACATTACATTCTATGCTCCTAATATTTCCCTCTCCAAAAGTGGTATGGTGCCAGTTCATTTTTGAACTATTTAAATGGTAACACTTTTTTTTCACCTAAACTAGAAATCACACTATGACTCTGTAGAATCCTACAATATAAAAATTAGTAAGTCATATTCTGTATTTATTTATATATTTTCCTATTATAGTTTACCTGTGTCCCCCAACTTCTCCCCCCCACACACACACTTCCTTGTAAATTCCTTGCTAGCTTTTCTATTTCAGCTTTGTTTTCCTTATTCCATTCACTCAAAAAATATTAGCCCTTATAGTGGACCAAGCACAGTGCTTTACCTGTCATAAGCAGTACGTCAGTGTTGAATGAATGAATCCTGATCTTCTATTCCTTAATTTCACCAGTAAGGACATTAAGACCTAGAAGTTAAGTGACTAACCCAAGGCCACACAAATAATTAACCCCCAAGACAATTCAAGAATTCAGGCATTTGGTAGAGCCAATGCAGACCTGACCTTGAGAATGGCATTATGCGGGTAACTGTACAAACAATTTGAACTTTCATCTGTCTGGAGGAGAGAGAGCTCCCTGAAAACTCAAAGCAAAATGAATGGAATAGCATTTGATCCTTCTGTGTTATACTTCATACCAATGGAAGTATTGTAAATTAATTTGAATCCTTAGATCTTAAATTAGTCTATGGAGAGGAAGGGTATCCTTTTTGTTTGGGAAAGAGGATTTAGGAGAGTCATAGTGGAACATTCAGCTCTTTGTCTTACACTAGCAGAGAAAGGGAAACAAATGTTCAGAGTTAGCATAATCAAGTGCTTAGTGTTTTCTGCCTGAATGCTCAAAGAGCAGGGCTTACGATTCTGCCCATTCGGTGGCTAAACAAGCAAAGTCGAAATGAATTCCTATTGCTTTTGAACAAAAAACACCCAAAATCTAATTCCTTGGGAGTACATGGCTGCATTTCTTAAGATGATGTATTAAAAAACCATAGCTGGGTATGCTTTAATCCTACAGTTGAACAAAATGACAGCATAGAAATATCTTACCAACAGCAACATCCTCTGCTCATGTGGAATTGTTAACCATTCAAAGTAAATTCAACACTTTTATCCTCAAGTGACATAAGGTCCCAATTTATTCTTTGTACCTATTCGAAAGCTTGGGGAAGCTTTTATGGAAGGCCTTCTCTCCAAAGAGAAACACACCTGGGGGTTCTCTTTTTGTAGGTCTCAGTCTTCAGGATTGAGCAATCTGAAATTCCTTGGAATGCTCTTCCCCTCATGTTGAGATCAGAATCACTGTTCTTCTTTGTTAAGAGGAAAGCTCACATTTACCCTCATCATTATTATGCCTTACAACAGGTACAAAACTCTAGACTCTTTTTTCCTTCTCTTGATGTCTTTACTGAGTACTAAACCAGACACAGCTTAGGGAGAGAGGAAAAACACTGTAACAAGTGTCAGAAGACTTGGGTTTGGATCTTGGTTCTATCCCTAATCAGCCCCATGAGCCTGAACAAATCATCTCATTTCTGAAAGAAGTTGGGCAATAACTACTTTATAAGGTTGTTGGGAGACATAGGTGGTATTATTTGGTGCAGGAAGGAACTCAGAAATCAATTATTTTAATCCTGCCATTTCACTGAGCAGCACAGAGTTCATAGGTAAACTAAGGCACAGAGAAGTCAAGTGCTTTCTTCAAGGTCATGCAGCTATTTGTGGTCATGCCAAAACCAGAATCTGGGTTTGGACTATTCCAATTAGGTTTTCTTTTCACTACAGCAAGGGACACATTAGAAAGAAAAGGAATGCTAACCTGGGAATCTAGCCTTGACCTCTACAACACCAATCTTTCAAATCATTAAATGAAGAATGCCAACACACTTCAAAGAAAGAACATACACAGAATATGCTTTCCTTGTGAGGGCATATGAAACTGCACATGTGCAGATGTAAGCCACTATGAGCATTTATTGTTCATTTAGGACATAAAAGGAAAGCTATAAAAGCTGACCATAGCTCTTCCGGCCAAGAGCAGGATTTACTACAGACTTTATAACTGGATACAAGCATGAGAGGTCCTCAGAATCAAAGATGAGCCAGTAGGATACAGTTTAAATAGAGCCTGTTCTGACCATAGCTCCAGAAGGCCCAGAGCAGTTTGTGGTGTTGTGGCCACATGCCAATACTTCAAGTCAATTTCCCATAACGTGACATTTCAGTTTCCCAACTGCTATCTCAAACAAGGGTGGATTCTGTGCATTGAACTTCCCTTGCTTCATCATAGCTAAGATTTTGGAAAGAGAGAAAAAGAAGTTTGTAAAGATTAGTGGGGATTTAGAGCCGGTAATTTTTTTGTATTATTAAAGTACTGGTGATGAGGAATGTCAAACAACCAAGTCTCATCCTGGCTCCAGTGTCTTTGAGATAGTCTGGCTCAGTCTTGGTAGGATTAGGATCAAAAATATCCCAGGTATACACTCTAGGGCCAACTTCTAAGCTTTATCAAATACACACACACACACACACACAGAAATATACATACAAATGTGCATATAAAGGCTTATATGCATGTGTGTTATGTGCGTGTGGGTGTATGTATGGAGAGACAGAGAGAAAAAGAGAAATCCTTTTAGCTCTAATTTGTGAGACCAAATCTAGAAATAACAGATGGCGTTGCAGTGGGAATTACGACTCATACTTATTTAACAACGGACAAGTACCACCAACTATATTTCAACTTCTTTATGTTATATTTATGAATAATAGGAAAAATTAACATTCCTTAAGCTCTTAGGATGCATCAGACATTCTTTTAAGAGCTTTACAGTCTGTTTACTCTTCAGACAATCCTATTATGTAAAATACTATTTTCTTTACTTTTAAAATCAGGAAACTGAGGCACTGGAAGTGAAATAACTTGCCCAAACTTATGGAGCTACTAAGTGGTGGAATAGAATCCAAATCTGGTGTCCATCAACAGATGAATGGATAAAGAAGATGTGACTGATACATATATATACATATATACATACATACACACACACACAATGGAACATTATGCAGTCATCAAAAAAAAAATGAAATCTTGCCATTTGCAACAACGTGGATGGAACTAGAGGGCATTATGCTAAGTGAAATAAGTCAATCAGAGAAAGACAAGTATCATATGATCTCACTGATATGAGGAATTCCTAATCTCAGGAAACAAACTGAGGGTTGCTGGAGTGGTGGGGGTTGGGAGGGATGGGGTGGCTGGGTGATAGACATTGGGGAGGGTATGTGCTATGGTGAGTGCTGTGAAGTGTTTAAGACTTGAATCACAGACCTGTTCTTCTGAAATAAATATACATATGTTTAAAAAAAAAAAAAAAGACAGTAGGAAGGGAAAAATGAAGGGGGGTGGAATCAGAGGGGGAGACGAACCATAAGAGACTATGGACTCCGAGAAACAAACTGAGGGTTTTAAGAGGGGAGGGGGGTGGGGGGATGGGTTAGCCTGGTGATGGGTATTAAAGAGGGCACGTATTGCATGGAGCACTGGGTGTTATACGCAAACAATGAATCATGGAACACAACATTAAAAACTAATGATGTACTGTAATGGTGACTAACATAATAAAATAAAATTTATTTAAAAAAAAAAAAAGAAAAGGGGGAAATAAAAAAGAATCCAAATCTGGGTATCTGAAGCCAGACTAGTATTAGAGAGTCATCATCACAACAGATGTCCCCAAATATTCTTCCATTTCTTACCCAATATCAACCCAATTCTAACTGATTAGGTTGCATGAGATACTGTAGTCCATGTATTCCAAAGAATAACATCCCTAAGAAACCAAATCAAATCAAGGAGAAATAAAATGCATTTATTATAATTTGAAAATGTAAAAGTTAAGCAGATTAAGCAGTTTAGTTGCCTCATCTGTAACAGATGTAGCAGATCATAAGCATTTAGAGCAAGACATCTATCTCACTGTCATAATTTTAAAACAAAAATGATTAGAGAACATGATCATGCACGACAGTCTTTCGACAAAAGTGGCTTATCTAAAGTATAAACTCTCATCTTACCTCACATATAATGAAATGGGTACAACTGTATTGAGAATAATAATATATGACCAGAATGTTAAGAATCCTGAGAATACAGAGTTCTTCTCTCCTTCATTCCAAAAGAGGAAAGTTCTGAATTGGTCTCCAACTTGATTCTCCCAGATTGAATTTCCTATTGCAAGAATAATTCCCAAGCATACCAGAAACCCAAAAATCTGAAATGAGAATAGAAGTCTGGTTAAGGTTAACTTGAACCCAAAACTCACCATATCAACGCAATCCAGTTACACCCCTAACTCCAAGAAACTGCCATTTGAAAAGCAAGACATGCAAAGCACTTCTTACTTATCATTAATCATACAAGTTTAATATTTTTATGTTGGAACTTGGCTAAATATTTTACATGCATTTTCTCACTTAATTCTCCCACTGATTGTCTGAGATAGGGATAATCATTATTCACGTTACAAGTCAATAACAGAACAAAATAAAACAGAAGCACAGAAAAATTATATAACTTATCCATGGTCACAAAGCCAATAACTTCACACCCTTGATTTGCGATGAGTGCATATACGTTAAGTGGCTTAAGTAAAGAAAGTCATATGTCCTGACTTGCCCTGGTCAGCCCCCGTTTATATCTGTTGTCCAGATATAATATTGTGTTTCCTCCTTTCACCTTCAAAAGTGCCCCATTTGAATGATAAATTATATGGTCACCCAAGGCACAAAAGCAAAAGGAAGAAAATGTCAGTAATATAGAACAATCTGGGACTAGTCAAGTCTCTTGGCTACAGATGTAGCTGCACAATCCTTACTTAAGGTCCACAAGAAAAAGAAGGATTAATTAAAATATGGCATGGCATATATGTTTTCCTTTTGAGATTAAAAAAAATAGTGGGAAGCAACCTGAAAACTGTTAGCCAACTCTTACATTGTGATTAGTACCAGGATTACCAAAGCAGACATTTTGGAGGCATAGCAACTAGAAAGAGAGCAAGGTCAGTTCCTTGTGAGCCCAAATGCCAGCCTTGGAAAGGAAAGACACAAAGTCAGTGAACAGGTAAGACCTGAGCAAGGGAACAAGGGATTCTGGGGACTTTGCTCTGCCAAGTGTCATACTGTGTTAGGAGCCAAGACCAGCCGCTATATTGAGGGAGGAGTGGGGCTAGGGAACAGGAATGTATTTAACTTCTTATTTCCTCTTTCCTCCAAGAAGGAATATTCAGGCATTCTAGGACTGCTTTCTTCTTTATCCATTCATGAACAAAATATACATATAAGAAGACATTTATGTAGAAAAAATTATGGGAAAACCTGACTTAAAGTACCTTAGAAAACCATGTATTAGAGAAAAGTAGAATTGTGAATTCCTGAAATCTTACCAATTTGATACCTGTATCACAGTATCCTCTTTTCTTTCAGTGATTAATACCACAAATTAATTGAAGTGAATTACTTTAAGAGCATTAAAATTGGTGCTACTTGGCATTAAATGCCCTAATTTAGGATTGACTCAGCTTCTAATTCTCCAGTGGATTATTCGATTTTCTAGTATGAAAAGCTGGGACAGTCTCTCCACAATCAGTAATTTTACTCTGTGGTGGATACACATACAATCTCCATGCAAGCCCAGAAGCGGGCTTAGGGCCATTTAAATAGGGAATTCTAGGAGGGGACACAAGTTAAGCATGTCCCCTTGGCCCTGGATACTCTTCCCCAAGGGGATGGATGTAGTGGGAGGAAAGCCCAGTTCTGAGGATGATACCAAACATAAAACACAGAGCCCAGCCAGTATTTTATGCCCAATAAGAGTCTACTTCCTTATATTATGGAGCCATCAAAAGGAATGAAATCTTGCCATTTGCAACAATGTGGATAGAACTGGAGGGTATTATGCTGAGCGAAATAAGTCAATCAGAGAAAGACATATATCATATGATCTCCCTGATATGAGGAATTCTTAATCTCAGGAAACAAACTGAGGGTTGCTGGAGTGGTGGGGGGTGGGAGGGATGGGGTGGCTGGGTGATAGACATTGGGGAGGGTATGTGCTACGGTGAGTGTTGTGAAGTGTGTAAGACTGTTGAATCACAGACCTGTACCTCTGAAACAAATAATACATTATATGTTTAAAAAAAAAAAAAGAAGAAGATAGTAGGAAGGGAAAAATGAAGGGGGGTAATTCAGAGGGGGAGATGAACCATGAGAGACTATGGACTCTGAGAAACAAACTGAGGGTTCTAGAGGGGCGAGTGGTGGGGGGATGGGTTAGCCTGGTGATGGGTATTAAAGAGGGCACGTACTGAATGGAGCACTGGGTGTTATATGCAAACAATGAATCAGGGAACACTACATCAAAAACTAATGATGTAATGTATGGTGATTAACATAATAAAATTTTTAAAAAAAGAGTCCACTTCCTTCTTTCTTTATTCAGAGTCCCACTCTCACATACCAGTTTTGCAAATATATACTGAGCTCAGATTCTTTATAATTGCTTATGAGTGTGATGGGGGCGGGGCTTGGTTCAAGGTCACTGTCCTCATATTTAAAATCAATGTCCTCCAACTTAATTCCAACATAAGGAAGCAAAGCAATATTACACAAAAAGATAACAATCAGATGCACAGCATGAGGAAGCACAAGATTAACTGACAAGAGGGTAGCATGCAAGGAATACTCAACTGTTTCTGGTAAATGGATGGTAGAAAAAAACATTTCAAAAAATGCAGAAGAGAACAAAAATTCAGAGGAAAGAATCCCATGCTAAGGAGGTTCAGAAGCTTTTGCAAAGGAGGAGAACTGTGACCTGGGCCTTAGAAGATTCATAATAGAACCAGCTACACAATTTGTAGAGCCCAGTGCAAAATGAAAATACAGGACCCCTTGTTTAAAAATTACTGATAATTTCTACATGGCAACAGCAGATCAGTAAGTCAAGTATGAGGCCCTTCTGAGTGGGGAACCTGTATAATTGCACAGGTCACACACCCGTGAAGCCAGCTCCATCCATAAGCTATGTTGAGAGGACATGAGCAAAGGTAAGACAACAAAGGGACCAAACTACCTGAAAAATTATGTTTTCTTTTTTAAAAATGAGTATTTGAAATATGGAGAACTTGCAAGACCATGACAGCCTCCAGAAGCACTATCTTACCTCTCATCAGAAACTGTACCAATGGTTGAGAAATCATAATCTAGAAAGTAGAGGGCAATATAACTGGGCCCCAGGTGCAAAACCCCCAAATACAAATTCCACAAGGAGAATAAAAATTTCTGAAAGAATTCCCAGCAAAATATAAGAAATATATTAAGATAACAATGATTAGCAACTTTGCCTAATTTTGTTATAGTATCTTACCCATAGTACTAGAGTATTCATCAGCCTATCAATGCTTGTCCTCTTAAACTTTGTCTTACCACTGTTCTGCATTAATTTAGTGTCAGGACCTGCCAAAATAAAATTAAATAGCAACCTTAAAATGATTTGATAATGTACTACTATCATTATTATTATTTTTTACCACGTCAAATGTTCCTGAAAGGAGAACAGTATGTTTTTCAAAATAATTTAACTTTTATTAAGAACAGGGGTCATTTTTAAGTTGTATACAATTCTCAACTGGTAGCTTAATAACAACCCTGGAGACTGCAAGAGAATTGGTCTCCTTAGAATAGGACAAATCCAGACAGACCTGTGGCTGAAAGGTTTGAGAAATGCTATTTTTCAAAAAGCTGCGTATGGATGTGCTTGGAGTTGAAGGAGTGAAAGGTAACAAGGTCAATCCAAGTGAGGAATAATTTGACATGTTAAAAAGAACGCAGTAATAAACACAATTCAGAACACTGAGATCAAAAATGGAAAGTTAAAATCAGAAATCAAATTTTGGATGTTTCCCAAAAAGATCTAGGGTGCCTTTATGGAGAAACTAGAATAAATGCAAACAAGACATCAGCAAGTAAGCTAAATCTTTATTGTGTATTGCACATTGTGCATATAATATACACTTTTTGTAAAGGGCAGGAATTGAATCTTATATTAGCTTTATTTCAGGTAAATACACTCTCTCATATTTACCAAGTCCCTTGTTCAAGTAATTCTAAGAATTATTATTAACTGCCTTAGAGGTACATAACTAGATGATTAACAAAAGAGAATATTAAAATATATTGCTAAGGAAATTCCGTGTAGACACGGAAGATGCTAAATGGAAGCAATTAAGCATTAATTATATCTAATTCCCCTAGCGTTCCTCTCCACATCATCTTCCCATTATGTCATCAATCCATGTAGCCATTTAATATAGGAGAGAGGGGAATTGAAAGAATTAAAGGAGAGGCACACATAAAATTTTCCACCACCCTAAAAGTCAGGGAAGAATGAGCACATCCTTAGAAGACTTTCATTTACTTAAAATACAAATGGAAACAAAGATTGGGGTCTCATAAAATTCAGTCTGAAGTTGGAAACTGTACCCCACTGTCCTATTCCCAACTACTGCTGTGTAAATGAGACCACCCACATTTTCTCAGAATTGTTCATTAAAATCATATGGACACTGAGGGTAGGAAGCATTTCTCGTATAGTAAAGATCACAAATAGCAAATAAAGTTTGTGATTAGCAAAAGCTGAAAAACTGACAGACCCCAGTTTTGTGCTAAAATTTTACATTTCTTAGGCATACATACACACACAGAGCAGCAGAGAATACACCTAAGAGGTTTTTAAGTATTTATCTAAATATATCTACAGATGCTGATTCACACATCTCTTCTTCCACTCATATCTTCCACTCTTCCAGACAGATCTTGAAAGAATTTCTGTACTCAGCAGCCTCTGTTTTCTCAGCTCCTACTCATTACTCAACCTAGTTTCAGATCTAGTGTTATCATCAATACCCTCCATGCTTTCTTTGACCTATCAGCAGCCGTTGACACTTTGACTATTCCATCCTTTTGAAACACTCTTCCCTTAGCTTCTGTATTACAATGTTCTCCTGCTTTTCCTCCTACCTCTTTGTTAACTCCTTCTTTGTCTTCCATGATGCTCACCCCTCTCTACACAGCCACTAACCACCAGGATTCCTTAACACTTGGGTGTAGCCTATCTTGTCTTCTTTCTGAATCCACCCTCCCTGGGAAATCTCACCTAAGACCACAGCTCCAATTACCATCTATAGACCAAATGTAAATCCCCAGCTCAGACTGCTCCTCTGAGATCTAAACCTACACATTTAATTCTCTAAGGAATCTTCACCTGGATTCTTCTAAGGCTCCTCAAGCAGCCCTGGTCCAGCCCCACTTGTGACCTTCCCCCAGGGTTCCTTATGTCAGTGAATGGCACCACCATCCATCCAATTGTGAAAGCTGAGAGAAGCCTAGGAGTCTATCTCCATGACTCCCACCTTAGTCCAAAGTACCATCATCTCTCAACTGGACTATGGTAAAAGCTTAGTAATTTTGTCTCCCTGCATCCATTCTGCTCCCAGCTTTAATGAAGATTTTTATCCTCCCCAACCCCAATGATATACTCTTTCAAGGACCCGCTATTTATGAACTTTATAAATACTATGGGCAATAATGAGCTTTTCAGATTTCACACACACACACACACACACACACACACACACACACACACACACACACCATCTGTTTGGAAAACTTTACAATGGTTTCCCAATGCTCTTAGGATAAAGACCAAAGTTCTGGATACAGACCACAAGGTTCTGTATGGTCCAGATCCTATCCACATCTCCAGTCACATGTCTATCTATATCCTCCATGTTCTCCATATTCAACACTGGCCTTCTTAAGTTTTTTCCATTCTCAGTCCCGCCACAGGGCCTTTCTCCACAATGTGACTTTTAAGTAGCTTGCTCTTTCTCTTCATATTCTTCCATTATATACTCTTGTGAGTCCATGTTCTTTTTTTTTCCAGAGCACTTATCTCAGTTTGAGGTTATAGATTCATTATGACAATTATCTGAGATTAAGTTCTCTTACTCCTACCAGAGTCAAAACCACATGAGTGAATGGACTGCATTTGTCTTTGCTGACATTCTTAATCAGAAATGAATAAGAAGTATAGTGCCTGCCACATAGTAGGCACTCAATAAATAACCGTTTGATGAATTTATTAAGTACCTGCTATGTTTCAGGTGATGTGCATATGTACTTTTCATCTATTATCTCAGTTAATGCTTAAAACAATGGGTATTAAAGGAGGGCACGTATTGCATGGAGCACTGGGTGTTATACGCAAACAATGAACCATGGAACACTACATCAAAACTAATGATGTACTGTACGGTAACTAACATAATAAAAAACAATTGGACAAAAAAATAAATAAAACAATCCAATTATTTAGGTATTATTACCCTTAATTCACTAATAATGAAACAAGCTTAAAGTATTTAAGTAACTTGCCTGAGATTTCTTGTCTAGTAAGTATCAGAACCAGAATTCAAACCCAGACATATCTAACTTGGAAGCTCTTTGCTCTTCACCACTGTTTTTAAAACTATATGAAATACCCCATTAGCTCATTAATTCACTGACTCATTCAATCAATGTGTATTTAAGACTGACTCATTCAGATTCCAAACAGGAACTAGATGATGCACTGAACAAGGATAACTGGAGAAAAAAAATTTTTTTTTCTAAAATGACTCTTTACAAAAGTGTGGGTGGGGGTGTAGGGGAAGCAAAAGGTTCATGGTAACCAAAGACTTAGAAGCAATCAGGATGTTTCTCTAAGCTAGAAGGGAGTGGTTACTGGAGCCTAAAGGACAGTATAGAGTTTGCAGCCTTTAAGAAAGAGTGACTTTAGGTTGAGGGACATAGCCAGCCTGAAGTGACTACTTAGGGAGGAAGTCTGGGGGAATAAATACCTTCACCTCAATCTTCTTTCTCCCTTTGATCTCTTTCCATGGATCCCCAGTGACAGAGCCTAATTAGAAGCCAAAATTCAAGGAAACCTATTAGTGTAAACCATACAAATCAGCCTCCCAAGGCAGAAAGAAGAGTGGAAAAATGTGACAGTAAATCTGGAGGGGCAAATGGAAGACACCTAGGAAAAAAATCTACTGTGTACCAAAATGGTGCTGGATTCCTTAAATGGATTTCTTAAATGAATAAGACTCCTCCACTCAGAAACAAGATTTCCAGCTCTCTTGAGTGGAAGAAAAGTTATTACCAGGGAGGCATGGCCTAGCTGTTAATGTATATTAGAGCCTCATAAATTATAGATTTGTAAAGTAAACCATGTCTGTGCCAACTATATTCCTTACACAATCCTTAGTGATAGTTATAACCAGAGACATATAGAAAGAATAGTTAATAATTCATTTGGATAACTTTCATAAGATCTAAGGGTTCACCTGGAACTAGTTCCCCAAATTAGATTTCTTAAGACTTGGGGGTTCTGAGACACTCATCTGTTCAAATCTGACATTGACCAAACCAACCATTCCTCCACCTGTCACTATTCTAGCTAAGCTTTCTATTAACATTCATGCCCAGACTAAAGTCAATGCAGGCATTCTCTGCTTTACAAATATCTGCCCCATGAAGAAGATCTAACCCATAGCACAAAAAGAAGAGGATACTGCCCCACTCCCACCTACCAAGATCCAAAGAGCATTACATCAGACCAAACCTCAGTCTATGGGGCAGGCAGTGCAGTCTGCACAGCGTCAACAGAATTGACGCTGGATGGAAGAAGCAGGGAAGGAAGGAGAGTAACATTTGTCAAGCATCCTCTGCCATATGCATTTTCTCCCTGAGCTTTTAGAGTGACTCTCTAATGTACTTACTCATTACCCCCATGTTACAGCAGAAGAAACTAAAGCTTGGGAAGTTGAAGTAACCGCGGCTTAACATCCTACAGCTGGTAAACAAATCTGAACCCAGCTCTGTCCAATTCTAATTCTGTGAACTTTCTGTTCTACTTCTCAGGGGGAAACCTGTTCAATTTACCACCCCACTTCGTTCTATGTAGGCGCATTTTCCCAGAGCAAAACTTATGAAGAAAAACTTGGCCCCTGAGTGGCTCACACAGCTGTCCTAGCATTACATGCTGTAATTGAACCAGAGTCCTGAATTAGTCATTCCAAACAAGTTCACAAAAATGCAAACACAACGTTGGGCTATAGCCCATTCTGGGAATGAAGCCCCCCAACTTCTGCGATGATAGGGAGCAAACCAGGAGGGCCCTTCCCACTAAAGAAGCTTCAAGAAATCTCCCTCTCATTATGTGGGAAGATAAAGGAGGGTAATATATGAGCCTAGCTCTTTTTCTTAATGCAAGAAAGATGCAAATAAGAAAATATGTGATCACAGGTTCATTTCCCCAACAAATAAAAGCATCTGATGAGCGAATTACGAAAGCGGATTTGTCCCCAGATAAAAGCCCATATACTGCCATACTTCTAGGGATTTCTCAAGTCCTTACAATGGCAATACCCCAAGCAGCAAGAGCCTTGCTAACACCCACAGCTGAGAGTATTTAGGAGGAATTGGGAGGACTTTTCTAGGTTTGGAACACTTTTGAGTCTTTAATAAACATTAGTTGTTGTTGAGGAAAGTCAGTTAGGAAAAACATTCCAATTTTGATTGCACATATAGTCAATGGACCCAAAAACACATCTTAATTTGATGTCATAATAAACAGGATTTTTAAAAATCAAGGGCTGGCAATGGAAGCCATGAGTACAATTTGAGTGGCTTTATGTAATGGGGCTACTGTAAGCTTCCTTAGCAGGAGAATGCCACCTTGGGCCTGTAGAGATAAAGTCAAGACAGGAAAAGTGTCCAGTAGGAAGAGTAAGAGGCACTTTCCCTCCCTCCCTGCCTCCCGCCCCCACCTCTGTCATGCACAGTCTTTCCAGGCCCCACTGTCCTGCTGACAAATGGTAGAAGAAGCTACAGAGTATAAACAGAAATGATTGCAGGATCTCCAAGAAAGCTCTTCCAAAAGGATTGCTTGACCTTGCAAACTACAAAATTAACAGCAGAGCAGGGTTGGAGTGGGGGGGGGACTTGTTTCACACTCTTCCCCCACTTTAAAGGCAGGTGGATTAATATATACAATGATGGGAATGATTGAGATGAAGTTAAAGAAAGAGAAATTAAACAGTATCTAGCACCCACTGAGCAATTAAAGCCCAAGCACCCCTTAAGAATGAGTTCACGATGCCAGTGGTTCCTCACACAGGGGAGCCCCGCCCAGACTAACCCTCTGCAGTCAACCCGGAGCAGCATCTTTTGTAGAACAAAAGCACCTTCCTCATCCAACCTGAAGAGGCGCAGACTGCCCATGCACACCTCAGGACAGGTTCCCCATAACCGACCCGGGGCAGTCAGCTGTACCTGCAAAAATAACCATTCCAAAACACCAGCTGGTGTTTCTCAGGATGCAGCCCCTCAGCATTATATTCTCATTGTTGAGGCAGTGCTTGCTGTCCTTCCAAGAAAGAACTCCCGTGAATTTATCTAATTTGTTGTTAGGCGCCTCACAGACCACAATCCCTGTAAAATAAAAAACAAAAACGAAAACCTGTTTATGACTCACCTCAAACTCTCTTTAGCAATCCACCATACTGTGTTACCACCCTCCTTCTAATACACAGGATATTTTGGTTCCTTGTCTTTTAGACAGTGCAGTGCTATGTATACAAGACTGTGCTAGGAAAAATAAGCTTGGTGGTGGGGGGGTGGGGGGGAGTACAAAGATGGAAATCTATCAAGTGTTTTAAACACAGCTTTCTGCACTTTCCAAGTACTAATAGAAACCTTGAGAGCCATGGATTTTTTTTCCCCTAAATAAAAATCACTCCCTTCTACTTCTAGTTTGCAACAATGATTTCTGAAAACATAAAGCAGGGACTGTCCTGAAAGCTTTTTTTTCCTCCGTCTCTTTTTACTTACTGTGAACTTTCACACAGGTTAAGATGGCATGCTTCCAGCTTCACAATCAAAGTTAATCAGGTCTTTCTAGGCTCATCATCAGAATTTCAGGGGGATCCTATGAAGTCCCACCCCCAAGAAACCTGGGTCTTGTTTGCCACATGTGCCTGAGAATGCATGTGATTCCTTTCAGCTGTTCTATGCTTCTTATCTTGATTAGATGCAGAATTCTGGGGACCCTCAAAGCTACCATATAACTTGTCCCAACCTGGCCAGAAGACGTTTCTAGTTTTTTTAATTCCAGGTCCATTCCAAACCAAGGGTGTGCCCATTCCAAATCAATAAATCAATTCGTTCCATTATTTCAATAAGAAAATACACTTTCAGAGTGGGGGTTCTTTTGACAGAAAGAGAAACCAGAAATAATTTTGCAGGGACCCTGTCACAACATGAAACTATTAGATTAAATGCATTACAAATGGTTGGGCTTAAACTTTTATAAGAAATGAGTACCGAGACTTGAAAGTCAGAGGGAGAGATGAAGGAAAGGGGGAAGGAATGAAAAAGGAAGGCAGTGGATAGATCCAAATGGGCTCAAACCCAACTCAGGGGTGAGATTAGCACCTTGCAAAAACAATAAAAATACACAGATTGAATCAAAGCCAAGAGGGTAGGTTGGAACATACAAAGTGGCATTTGAAAAATTACAAAGGAAGTCTTCAGCACTGACTGAAGAGAAAGGAGGCCAGCCCAGCCAAGAGAACCTCTGTAGTACTCTGTCACACCACTCACTGAGCACCTGAACTTAGAGGTTTACATGGACACCCTTCCTTCCTACAGTGATATCTTTTCCTTTTAAAGCTCTTAGAGGTGACAGTAGCCAGTTTTCATATGGCCTGATCACTCCTGATTAACAAGATCACTAACACTGGATCTTGCATGAAAAACACAAAAACAAAAACCAGAAAGGAGTGAAGGACTCAGGGCCTCAGGACTACTTTTTCCAAACTCCATTTTTTTTTCCCCAGTTATAACAAAATTGCTACCTAAACAACCCCAACTCAACAACATTCACTGGCAGCTTCCTAGACATCCAACACTAAATGAGAGTGTTGGCAAGAGGATGTGGGCAAGGCTAGATAACCTGTACAATGTTGTTTTTTATACAACGGGATGTGACTAAATTCTGGTTGCTCCCATTATGGCCTATTACTAATATTAAAAAGTAAATTGAGACTGATTTCAGTTGGCCCAAGGTGTTTGGACAATTAGGTTGCAGAAGAGGGGATTTTTTTTTTCTAAATTCTAAGAATTCATTACCTTTTTCTTCTTGACCAATAATTTTCATTCCTAAATTTTGTAGAAACTTGAATTGAGTAGCCCCAGCAAAACCTACAAAAAATATCGGGTGATAGGAACCCTTAAAACTTACTCCAGTTTCTGACCCAAGACTCAACTTCTCAAGTCTTCAAAGTTGGCCACCAATAAATAAATAAATAAATAAAAATGTGTTTTCTGCAAAAAACAACACGATACACAGTCCCTGCCAAAAAATATAAAAAACAGGCTCATTTGGTCATTTTTATTGTCGCAAGGAGCGACTGACATGGAGACAAATACAGCCTTGAACATGTTGGCTCACTCCTCCCTAGCCTCAAGGCTCATCTACTTCTGGCCTGACACCAAGGGTGTGGTTCTAGACAGGAACAGGCAGTAAGGCCAAGGGGTTCTGCTTAAGCTCTTAAAGGCCAAGCCCCAATTCAGCCTTTCTCAAAGAGGGTGGTCCCACTGATTTAAGTACTAAATACAGAGCCTGGTCAAAACAAAATGGGGTGTGGGGGGGAACAAAGCCAAACTACATCTTTTGTCTTCAAAAGTGCTCAGCTTCCCCTTTCTTAGCCTTGTTAGGATCAAATATTTCCAAACTTCTTTTCTTCCCTTTTCCAAAAAAGGGTGACTAGTTTCCTCTGAAGGGAGCACTGTATTCATTTCTGTATCCCCATAACTTATCATACTGCCTACGCAATAAATATTTGTTAGAGAAATAGGGGGAAAAAATCATATGGCTTCAAAAGAGAGGTTGGGAAATGAGATGGGAGCTAGAGTAGATCTAAGACGAATGAAAGAAGTGGGTATATTTCCATGGTAATTATGATAAAGAGGATTGGAAGACCTAAATGCCTAGCCACCGTGGGGGGCTTAGGTTGGCCTAACTCTAAAGAGATACAAATAGATCTGGGGACAAAAGTGGGAACCTTAAAGCACATTAGAAGCAACGAAATATATACCCTAGCCATAAAGCATAATAAGGAGTAGGGAAAAACTTAGGACCCTTTCACCTTTTGCTAACAGTATCAGAGAAGAGTTAGAGGCAGTAAACAGTCAGTTTGACAATGGATGAGAAGACAGTTTAGGAAAAATAGCATTTTCTCTCAGATAGTTGTTCACTGAAAACATGACTTTGTGCTCTAATCATCTTTAATGGGCAATAAAACAACTGGGAAAAAATCATGTCAATAATGAAATAGAAATATAACCAAACTAGCTAGTTTTACTTGTTTGCCCCTCTGAAGAGAACAGACATGAAAGCAGATAGTAACTCACCCAGTTCACAATCACACAGAAATGTTCTAGGTCCATCCTGAACAAAATCCACAAGATATCATTCTCAACCTCCCTCTGCACTCTAAATTGAGTCCTCTGGGTTGCTGGTTAATTACCAACCTAATAACCTTCTTGAACTAAAGCATTTATGTCAAAGTGGAAATCTATAGTTTATCATGAAAATGGAATTCAGTACCCAATACTCCAGGATTTTCCAGAGAAGCTGACTTTATTTCCTTCTGTATATTATTACTAGCATATTTCTTGATTATCTGCACTGCAACTCTTCAACAAGACAAATTATCTACTGAATAAGACATCATCATTGCCATTCAGGAGTTTCTCCAATCAAGAATTTCTCTGAGTTTAAAAGACTGTCCACTGTTGTTGCTCTAATGATGTGATAAATATATTTTTTTCTTAGAAAGAAGAGTGTCACCTTCCTATTTTCTAAAGCCTCTTCATTCTTCAAACTTCAAGCCTCAGCCACCCATCATCGCTATCATAATGGCCATATAAATACCAGCAGTAAAGAGGAAAGTTATTGGTTGCGCTGTGCTTCTGTCCAGGTGAACAGGAAATTATCCAGTAAGTAAAAAGTCTTAAGATGCTAATCAAGCCTTTTTTTTTTAAACAAAAAGAGATGCTTGTTTTTATGTGTTTGAATTACACACATGCTATTCTTTAGAAAGGACCACAAAATACACAAAGATTCCTGAAATAAAGAGTCAACCCTTCCCTGGTTCAGAACTCAGTATTAAGAGTCATACAAACTATGTAAACTTGTCATAAGTTGCAAAAAAACAGATCCTAGTCCAGTCAGTAACAATATGCAACAGATTCTTAAACACATTTGGACAATTTACATCTAGGGCTTTCCCCAAGGCATAAAAATGTCCAGTTTACAAATGTATAATTGATGACTATCTCCAGTTACTTATTTATAAAAAGCTTTTCAATTCCCAAAAGACTTTAACATGAAAAATCAAGGCCCACTCTATTTTCATACTTGTTATATCAGATCAAGTTGTTTTTTTCTTACAAAATTTAATAGACAATATATCAATTATTTTCTGATGTTTTCAATGTATGAAAATATTTATGTGACAATTTTTTAAATAAGTAGATTTACCCACCAAAACTCAAAACTACCTTGCATGTACTGTTCTCTATGTTTGGCCAACTCTTCTTTAAACTCTTGTCAGGGATCCTGACATTCAAGATCACTGAGAACATTGCTGCTTTTTAAAAATATGGTGATGCCATTGGATTCCTGGATGGACTTGATCTCTGGTAATTAATTTTGTACCTTTAGTTTTAGAGTATTCTTAAAATTTATTTCTTCTCCTGATCAGGAGCTAAGTTGTCATGGTAATCCTCTCCCTCTCCGATGCTGCCTTTCTTCTTGTAGTTTACAACCTCTTGCGGCCTTCCATAGAATAGGCTTTGCCAGCAGTCTTGGGTTCGTATTCTGACTCCTCCACTTAGTAACCATATGACATTGGAAAAAGCTTTCAACTTATCTGAGTCTCAGATTCCTTGCCTATAAATTGGAAGCAGTAATAATCTCTTCATCGCCGGGCTATAAGGATTTCATAAGATAATGTATGCAGTTACTTAGCACAGTGCCCGGTGTCAATATTATGTTGAAGGCCTGAGAACTTTAGGACCTTTACCTAATTAAAGGCTTCTTTGGGAATGAGCACTTATTCAAGTCTGCCTTCTCTGCTGGGCTATAAGCTCTATGAAAACAAGGCCTGGGTCTGACTTATTAACCACTGTATCTGTAGACTTAGCAAATCCCTTATCATTATGTTAAATATATATTTACTGAGTAAATGAACAGATGACAGAAAGAATGAATGAAAGCCTAAAGAGGTCACTAGCAAGACACTGTCCTTGGATTTGGGTGCAAAAGTGGGAAGACAGGGAGACTTACAAGAGATATCCTAGGCCCTAGCCATCTCAGTTTTGAGCCTTGGTGTCCTCAGTGGGGACTTCTCTAGGAACAGCAGTGGGAAACTGAGGTCTTCAAATACTTGGAAGATGTGCACTTATGACTCAAAGACAAAAAACTGTAGTTTGGTACTAGAGAAAGTATTTTGGCCAAGTCTCAGAAGAAAAACCACATGGTAACTAGAAGCAAAAATAATATCATACCCAGATTTGCCCAGAAGTCACAAGCTAAAAGATATACTTAGCCCAGACAGAGCATGGGAAAGGGCGTGCCTCATATGTCTGTCTCATCTATTAGACCATGCCACAGCTAGGCAGGGCATTTCCAAATGTACACAATGTTGATATCATGCTTTTAGTTTAAACTAAAGGATGCAGTATGTGGTTTTAATTCCCATGACTCAAGGAAGTTTTTTCTGGTCATCAGAGGAAAACCTAAAATCTACTGATACCCATTACGACAAAGGTGGACAGAGAAGACAAAAAAAAGGGGGGGGGTAGGAAAAGAATGGAGGAAAAGGATCAAAAGAAACTGGATAATACATATGGAGATATTTTATAATCCTACATACTTTGTACTTCATCTTGTCCCTAGGAGATGCTTAATAAATAGACTTTATAAGCTAATTAATGTGGACAGAGTGATGGAAAGAGAAAAGATGAAGAATTACAGAAAACGAGACAATGCATGTACACAGCTAACATAAGTAAGCTAACAAAGAGGGGAAGAAGATGATGAAAACAGTAAGAAAGGGAGGAAAGAAAGGAGGGAAATGGTGGAACGGGTAGAGAAATGTGTGCATGTACTGTGTAGTGTACGACTGTGTGTCAGAGAGTCAGGGAGACACTGAAATGAACATGTCTAAACTAGGGCTTAAAAACAAGAGCATTCACGGGAAGGATTTAGAGTTTACTAACTGTCCCACCTCTTTAACGACTTTCCATACCACATCTTGCATCACCCTCCTGGGCTTTAAATTTGGCTGCTAACAGGGAAAATCTAATTTGTATATGGTATGTAATTTATTTCCCCTTAATCCCTCCATTTATTCCAAGATGCTTTCTTGGAAACAGGAAATTATATTTTAATAAAGTTAAACCTGTAAAATACCATATTGCCTTAAACTTTAGGGTAGATTAAAATTCAACCCCAAATTCAAGAATGAACGAGTAAATTCAGCAAAAATCTGGTTCTTAGCCCAGAAGTGTACCAGCCGTATGAATCTGGCATTACATGTTTTCTGAGAAGTGACCACAGTTTAAGTATAAATGATTTTTTTAAAAAAAAGAGAAGTCTGTGTTGCCTTTGAGAAAACGATTATATGTTAGAAATTTGTTGAGTTACCTATGCTCTGTGAAGCAAATTCAAGCTACATCTAGTAATAATTATGAACACACTTTAAAAATAAATTGTATGACGTAGTTAAAAAGACTATTTTTATATATAAGCAAGTTTCTTAAGCTTTCAGGACACTCCCATCTGTGAGAAAGGAACTGTTCCAGGTGAGGAAATGTCTTCTTGCCTCAGCCTGAGCAGCACCACTTGTATTGGCTTAAATTTTGTGCTTCTGTGTTAAATTTTGTTTAAAAAGGGATTCTGAAGTAACGACATTATAAAACCACCACAGCAGATGATCCCTCTCTCAACCACCTGCCCTCCAAGAGGAGGGGACCCAGCACTCTTGCTTTATCCTGCAGGTTCCCATCAGGAAGCTTCTGTCTCACCCCATCCTTCCACCCACCATTCCCAATCCCTCTACCTTAGGCCCCTCTTACTTGTCTTTCTGGGGCCTGATGCTGATCCTGACCCCTAATCTCTGGCATTTGCAACCATTTATTCACACATTGAACAAGTATTTCCTGAGCACCTACTATGCAATAGGCATTGTTCTAGGAACTCGCTATATATCAGTGAGCAAAACAAAGATCCCTGTGCAGTTTACATTACAGCAAGTAGAGATGGATAATAAAAAATAAACTTAGAAAATAAGCAAGTTTTAGAATATGCCAGATGGTAATATGTGCTATGAGAAAAAGAAAACGCTGAACAGGGTAGAAGGGATTGAGACTTAAGGGGAGTCATACTCTGACTGAGAAGGAGGGTTCTTGGCCCCATTCCTGCAGTTGCATGTAAGAAATCAACCTAATCCAGCCTGGCCCTTGATATCCTATCTTGGCATTGACCTATGATCAGAGTTCTTGGAGAGTACAGTAAAGGCAGTTAGCACTCAACAAATATCCCTACTTGTTATTTCCCAGCCTCCCTTGCAGTTAGGCCAGGCCCATGTGGCTCATGCTGGCCAATGAAATGTGAGAGGAAGAAGCAGTTAAAAGTCAGCGTGTCTCTTTCATCTAGTCATTGCTTTAATGTGGTAAACTTAGAGGCCATTGGTCTAGGCACCATGGATCTAAGATGGAGAAGGCTGCCTGACCTAACATCAGAAGGTGACATGAACAAGAAATAACCTTCTGCTGTTTACACCACTAAGATTTCAGGGTTGTCTGAAGTGAATCACAGTATAGGCTATTTGTGCCAATATCTAAGAAAGAAAGTGAACTGGGTAATTATAACAATCATTTTCTGCTTTTTTATGGTAAAGAAAACTAAAAAGAATGAATTTTTACTTCTTTATAGATCAACAGAGGAATAAAGGTACAATTCTGCCAAGAAAGAAATGAGTAATGAGAAATTATATTTAGGTTGCCCTTTTAGGACTCCATAAATATTCTATGAAATATTTTAAGCAAGTATTTTGATTCATGAACACAACTTACTTTTCTTGGATTCTTGTAACAGTAAAATTTCATTGAAAAAATTACTTAGTAGAAAATGTGTAATTTGTTTTACTCTAATCAAAATATTTCTTGGGTCATTCAAAGTTTCCTGGCTATTCCCCTGACTTAAATCCCAAACTAGAGGAACATTTTTTTCTATAAACATGTATTATAACAGCACTCATTTAAGAGAGGTTAAAATATTAACAGAATCCAGACAGAGTTTATAAGCGAATGCAAAGCACAGGCAATATAAACTCTAAGCTGTGCACTGGGGAAATTTTATAATGTAAATTTGCCTGCGCTTTAACTCATGGGATCATGCTAAGACCCTTGACCACATTTTCCTTTAGTGGACTCAAAAGAAAACATTTTGGATGACAGTCTCAAACTCAAAGATTCATTAATAAATAAAACCAATCTATATGGAAATATTCATACTCAATTCCAGACATACAAGTTTGTAAAACAAGAGATCACTGAGCAATGGGAGGAAGACCCCAAAGATTCTCCCAAAGCCTGTCATGGTGCCTATAGTCCTGCCATTAATGGTTCTTTCCTTTGACTCTTGACGGATTTTGTTTCTCTGTGACAGCTTTAACAGCAAAGAACGAGACCTAACTGGAACAGAACAGGCAGAAATGGTTCCCCATGCTGGGGAGAAGGGACTGGGTTGAGTGGTGTGAGGATGATGATGAGGAAATCATGGTCTAAAATAAAGAGCGACTGATTAAGTCAGAATGTTCTTCCTGAACACCTACTACCTTTACAACATTCTGCCTGGCACTACGTCAGATACAGAAATACGTGAGGCTGCTTTATTGTCTTGGCAAAGTTTGCAGTCTAGTATTTGGTCTTTGCTATGGAGCCAGAGAATGGATGGATGGTTAGACCTAGCACTAGAAATAGAAATGTGTCCTGTGTTCATGCTCAGCAAATCTGCAGAGGGCCCCAGGGAGGCCAAGGTCAGGCAAGGAAAGGGTATTGTGGTACTAGAGGAAATGAGATCTACAGAAGAGGAAACAAGGATGAAATGAACAATGAATTTATAAAGCCACTATCCCCTTGGTAAACATTTTTACTCTTTAGCCTGAGAAGAGATTACAGGCTTTGATGCCTGCAGAATTTTATGTCCTTCCACCAAATAAAAAGAAACATGAATTGGATTTCAGATAATTCGTTATATTATTTTTTGGTTTTGAGGTTTTTGTCTGTTTTAAACACTTACCATCAAATTTTGCAAGTCTGCTAAAGTCTGCTCCAAGTTCTGAGGTAACCGATAGTGCATGGCGGACTTTAAGGTTCGTTTCCCTGTGAAATTAATTGATACGATGTGAATTTTTATATGGAACAGCCCAACAGCATCTTACATAAAATAACCAGGCGGGTGCAGCACATGCAAAATCCAACACAAGAGATTCAAAAAACTCCCTTCATATGTCATTCACACCTCTCAGTCAAGTGGACTTAGTAAAGTGGACAGGGCTTTGCATGCTCCTAAGAGTTGGCATTCCACACATGGCACATCTGTATAACAACACAGTAATCTGTTTTGTTATTTGAAAGAACAGAGGACATAATAAATATGATTTCATTCGAACCTACTCAGACATCATGCATGAATTACAAAACATATTAGGAATGGGAACACAGTTGCCAAATGAACGAGGCCAGTATCACTCTGGAGTCTACTATCTACATAGGAATTTTACTTGCAAAAGATGGTCATGGCTAATTTCACAGTAGCTAAAATTTAAATGGGAAAAGGAATACAGCTTTCTTTCTCGTGGAGAATCAAGCCAAAAATCCTGTAAGTCTGGGATCATACAACCAGATAGTAACTCAGCAGGTCACAGTGAGCTGGTCATCTTCTTCCAGGCAGAACCACACATACATTGGACCGATGGCCCTGTGGTGTTCATGAAATGACCAGTTGTGATGATTCTATGGCCATTACTCACATCTTGCATACAAGGACTTGTCACGCCGGTTTCCTCACTGAGTTCAACCTAATTCTCTTCTACTGTAGCTTAACATCATCAGTCAGAGTTCTAACTTTTATGGAAGTGTTTAGCAGTGAATTCATTTAGTCAACAAATATTGATTGAATACATACCATAGTCACCCATGAGATTCAGTGCTGCCCCACAAGGGTTACTGTTCTCTTGAGGGAAACAAGTGGTAGGTAAAAAGCAAGTATCACCATTTGGAAGTACATGACAAACCATGAAATACTTAATTTAGAGAACCGAGAAGCAGGTGCTTGAGAGGGCATTTAATCAAACTTCCTGTAATGGGTTTCACAATAATGTTGAAGACAACATGAAATCAATCCAAGGCACACCCCTTGGTGAAATAGCTTTCTTCAGGAAACACTAAGTTGGATATATAATTGAAGTTATTTTGCTTAAAAGTAATCTCATGGATCACTGATCTATCAATTCCTAGGATGCAGAAATGTGTAGGGGTTGAGATACTCAAGAAGAACTTCATAATTGAGGCAGAAATTGAGCTGGGCTTGATGAACAAGAGTGAGATAGTGGTGTTGAGGCTAAAGGACCAATGTGTCCATTCATTTAAACAAACTTTTCAAATAATTGAAACAGTCAGTGACCCCAGGTAGGCCAGACAGCTCTCATTCCTTAACCCCGCTCTACACATCATGCCATTCAGCAAGTTTTATCATCATTTTAGGTTACTTCCTCAGGATTCTCTCCAATATCTCACTTCCATATTCAGATGTGGAAACTAAAAGGGAAGAATAATCACACATAGGCCTTATTGATTAAAAAGAAAATTGCCAAGACTCCTGATTAATATCTTGTGTCATGCCATACTCTTCCTTAGCATGCCTCGGTATCTTGACTTCAAACTTCAAGATGATTTTCAGCATAAGAAATAATACAAAAGATCCTGTGTACCCTTTACTCAGTTCCCCCTAATGGTAACATTTGCAAAACTGTATTACCATGTCATAATATCACAGCTGAAATTGACACAGTCAAGATGGGGAACATTTCCATCACAGGGATTTCTTAGGTTAACCTTTGTAGACACACCCACTTCCCTGCCTCCTCCAATCCATCTTTAACTCCTGGTAACCACTGATCAGTAGTCCCTTTCCACAATTTTGCCATTTCAAGAATGGTACATAAGTAGAACCATACAGTATGTGACCTTTGGGGATTGACTTTTTTACTCAACAAAATTATCTGAAGATTCGTCCAGGTTGTTGTATGTATCAATAGTTCGTTCTTTTTTATTGCTCAATAGTGTTCCATGATATGGATATACCATAGTTTGTTCAACCTGTTAAAGGACATAAAAGTTGTTTCTAATTTGTGGATGTCACACATAAAGCTGCCATAAACATCTGTGTACAAGTTTTTTTGTGTAAACATAAGTCTTCATTTCTGTGGGATAAATGCCCATGAGTGAAATTGCTGGGTTGTCTGGTAATTGCGTGTTTAGTTTTTTAAGAAACTGCCAAACTATTTTCAGAGTGACTGTAGTATTTTACATTCCCATCAGCAAAGTGTGAGTGATTCTGTTCCTCTACCTCCTTGCCAGCATTTGGAGTTGTCACTATTTTTAAGTTTAGCCATTCTGATAGGTATGTACTGACATCTCATCGTGGTTTGAATTTTTAATGTCCCTAACAGCTAATGATGTTGAACATCTTTTTATGTGCTTATTTGCCATCTGCATGTCATCTCTGGTGAAATGTCCCTTCATATCATTTGCAAATTTTCTAATTGGATTGTGTTTTTACTACTGAGTTTTGAGCATTTTTCATATATTCAAGATAAAAATCCTTTGTCAGATAGATGGTTTACAAATGTTTTCTCCTAGTCTGTAGCTTATTTTTTCATTCCTCTTTAATAGGGTCTTTTGCACAGCAACATTTTTAATTTGAAGAAGTCTGGTGTATCAAATTATCCTCTTATGAATTATGCTTTTTGTGTCAAGTCTAAAAATTCTATGAGTAGCCCTAGATCTTGAAGATTTTCTCCTATGTTTTTCCCTAAAACTTTTATAGTTTTATATTTTACATTTGAATTCAATTTCCTTAATAGTTACAGGGCTATTCAAATTGTCTATTTCATATTGAGTTAGTTGTGGTAGTTTGTTTTTTGATGAAGTGGTCTATTTCATTTAAGTTGTTAAGTTTATGTGTATAAAGTTGCTTGTAGGATTTCCTCATCCTTCTGATATCTTAAGGATCTGTCAGAATATCCGCTGGTTCATTCATAATATTGTTATTTTGTGTCTTCTTTTTTTTTTCTTTTTCAGGCTTCCTGAGGTTTATCAAATTTATTGATGTTTTCAAAGAATCAACTCTGTCTTTGTTTTGTTGATTTTTCACTTCTCGTTTTTCTGTTCTCAAGTTCATTGATTTCTGCTCTTGTCTTTATCTCCTTCCTTCTGCTTGCTTTGGGTTTATGCTGTTATTTTCTAGGTTCTTGAGATGGGATATTGGATTATTGATTTGAGGCTCTTTTTCTTTTCAAGAATATGCATCTAGTGCCATAAATTTCCCTCTAAGCACTATTTTAGGTTCTGCCCAAACAAGGGCAGGATTACACAGGTCACACTCCATTTGAATAGCCCAGTAGAATAATGATTTGGGAGGCATTGGTTAAACCCAGGGGCTTTTTTGTCAGACTATCAGATGTGAGTACTGGCTTCGCTTCTGAGAAGTTTGGGATAAATTACTTAGTATCTCTAAGCCTGTCATCTGTACAATGGGGCTTATATATTACCAACGTCAGGATTAAATGATAAAATCCAACTAAAGAATTTAATAGTACCTTTAAAATGTAAACATTCAATAAATGTTTTTATGCCAACCAGATTGAATCCACTGAAGCAGAACTGCTATATTATTGATAACTAAATTCCTCAATTAACATTAATGTCAAAACTCCACTTCTCTCTTCTTCCTCCATCTTTATTTCACCCAGTACCAAAAGATTGCCTTCTAAAGTAACATCAATTCTTCTTTCCTCAGAAACTCATCAATACTCCTCTCATTTTCTTTAGAGAATCACATGAAATTATAAAAAGAAAAAATCTAAAACAAAACAAAACCTTTCTAAGGAATATGAAAGATTCCTATACAATAATTTACACAGACATGTTTAACTCACTGCTTTGGAAAGAAAATAAATTCAAGAGAAAAACAGCTTTCAAAGGAGCCACAAAGCAATTAACAAATGGAATTTGCAAGTTAGACTCTTACTTGTTCTGAGAAAATTAAATGAAGAATAAGGTTTAGGTTGAGTCCTGTTCCTAAAGCTATTACTATTAAATTAAAAACCAGTCTAAATAATTATTCTAACTTTAATAACTTACCCATCAAGCTCAGCAGTTTCAATATAACAGAGGCCATGTGGCTCACTACTTGATAGGAGAAGCAGATCAGCCTATTTTAAAAAATCATAAAGAATACATGAGAAGGGAAGACTGGTTGAAAGCCTTCTTTGTTGTATACACCCCTACTTACTAATGAGCCAGGAGAGCCTTAGAAAAAAAAGTAAGAGAGGTAAAATCCTCTTCCACCTCTCTGCCATACACGCCCCAAATCAAACCTTCCCTCTCCTTCCCTGTTCCTGTAGGGCCCACCCCTTGAACATCAGAATATAATAAGCAAGGGCAGGGGATATCATATAAATTAATAGCCACTTCATTTACTTTTTTTTGCAAGAAATATATAAAATTCTACATTCTTGTCTTGATAATTACTAATGGAAAATATAAAAGTTTCCCCAATAAGTTAGATAATTGGAAATGTTTCCATACACATACTTTAATTCCTTAGTGTCATGATTTAAGCGTAGCAGGAAGACAAAGCTGATGGGGAAAAGACAGAAGTAAAGTAGAAGGAAATTGGAAACCATAGGAAAAAATAAGGCAGGCAAGGAAAATTTAAAAAGAGAAAAATTACAATTAAAAATTAAAAATGTAAGAAAAAGATGATGGGGTGTAAGGAAGGTAGAAGAGAAAATAAAACAGGGGCTAAGCAAGAGGCAAGAAAGAATAGAAGATGTTCTAAAAGACAACAGAAAACATTCAGAAACCAAGTTGTGGATCTTTCACAAAGATAAAATCATTCCAGTCAGCTGTCCATTTAAGCTTTGTAAATGACCTATCACAATTCAGTTTTAGAATTCTGGTTGTTTCCTAAGGAAACAGTCAACAAAACCAAAAGACAACTGACAGAATGGGAGAAGATATTTGCAAATGACATATCAGATAAAGGGCTAGTATCCAAAATCTATAAAGAACTTATCAAACTCAACGCCCAAAGAACAAATGATCCAATCAAGAAATGGGCAGAAGACATCAACAGACATTTTTCCTAAGAAGACATCCAAATGGCCAACAGACACATGAAAAAGTGCTCAAGATCACTCGGCATCAGGGAAATCCAAATCAAAACCTCAATGAGATACCACCTCACACCAGTCAGAATGGCTAAAATTAACAAGTCAAGAAACGACAGATGTTGGTGAGGATGCAGAGAAAGGGGAAGCCTCCTACACTGTTGGTGGGAATGCAAGCTGGTGCAGCCACTATGGAAAACAGTATGGAGGTTCCTCAAAAAGTTGAAAATAGAGCTGCCCTAGGACCCAGCAATTGCACTACTGGGTATTTACCCCAAAGGTACAAATGTAGTGATCTGAAGGGGCACATGCACCCCAATGTTTATAGCAGCAACATCCACAATAGCCAAACTATGTAAAGAGCCTAGATGTCCATCGACAGATGAATGGATAAAGAAGATGTGGTACGTGTACACACACACACACACACACACACACACACACACACACTGGAATATTATGCAGCCATCAAAAAAGAAATGAAATCTTGGGGCACCTGGGTGGCTCAGTCAGTTAAGCGACTGCCTTCGGCTCAGGTCATGATCCTGGAGTCCCGGGATCGAATCCCGCATCGGGCTCCCTGCTCAGCGAGGAACCTGCTTCTCCCTCTGGCCCTCCCCCCTCTCATGTGCTCTCTCTCTCTCTCTCATTCTCACTCTCTCAAAATAAATAAATAAATCTTTAAAAAAAAATGAAATCTTGCCATTTGCAATGACATGGATGGAACTACAGGGTACCATGCTAAACGAAATAAGTCAATCAGAGAAAGACAATTATCATATGATCTCACGGATAGGAGGAATTTGAGAAAGGCAGAGGATCATAGGGGAAGGGAGGGAGAAGTGAAACAAGATGAAACCAAAAAGGGAGACAAACCATAAGGGACTCTTGATCTCAGGAAACAAACTGAGGGTTGCTGGAGTGGAGGGAGGTGGAGGGATGGTGTGGCTGGGTGATGGACACTGGGGAGGGTATGTGCTATGGTGAGTGCTGTGAATTGTGTAAGACTGATGAATCACAGACCGGTACCCGTGAAACAAATAGTACATTATATGTTAATTAAAAAGAATTCTGGGTGCTTCCTATATTGGGGAACTGTTTATTTCAAATTTCATCTTAAAATAAGGGTTTTTATTATGTAATCTCAGTCATAAAATAAAATTTTAAAAATAAGGGTTTTTATGCGATTCTGAAAGATCTGAAGGTCTAAAATGAAGTGACTAAAATTTTAGCATTTTGACACATTAGCCTAACAATTGTGTAGCTCTGTTTGAATGTAGGATTGGCATTCCAAGCTGTGAAATTTTCTTACCTTTGTTTTTTAAATTAGAATTGTTCCATTCTCAAGTCCCAGAGGTTAAATTTAGAATCAATCCACTCATTTCATTGTCTCAAGCTTTTAAATTTCCAACTCAAATATAGGTGGGGGCGGGGAGGAGAGGTATGTATATGTGTGTGTTCAGTTTTGTCTGAATTGTGACAAAACAGAAATGAAAAACAACTCACTGACAAACCCCTAAAAGAATAAAGGGTTTATATTATCGAGACTCTTAACTCTAACAAAAGTCACAGAACCTGAGGAGGCAAAAATTATTTCCTGACTTGTCACAATGTGACTATAGCAAACCCACTATAGAGAAAATGTATAAAGAGTTGTATGCAATTCTTGAGTCAAAAATTACCTACTTTGATTTTAAAAAGAAAAAAATGTTTTCAAAATTTCACCACGGTCTTACTTCTCACATTGAAATTTCGGTGGATATGACAGTAGTACGGCTTCATGACTCTCCTCCCCTGAGCTTCATAGCATCATTTTAAACAAAATCCAAAATTCTCTAATTCTTGTCCCCTGTGATTGAAAACAGTTATGAAGTACAGAGAAAGATCCCAATTTTTTTTTAAAGATTTTATTTATTTGACAGAGAGAGAAAGACACACAATGAGAGCAGGAACACAAGCAGGGGGAGTGAGAGAGAGAGAAGCAGGCTTAACACCAAGCAGGGAGCCCGATGCGGGGCTCGATCCCAGGACCCTGGGACCATGACCTGAGCCGAAGGCAGATGCTTAACAACTGAGCCACCCATCCACCCTGAAAGATCCTAATTTTTACCAAGAGTTGCTCTTCTTCTAAACTCTGCACAGTAAGGATGATTTGATGTTACTGTTTAGTATTGAGCTTAGCTGCTGAATACTTAGATGTTTGGTAGACAAAGGGAGGATTCGCTGTCCATTGCTGGCTCAGAACACGTGAGTGAGGCACCACCATCACCTGGTGGCTAGATTCTCTCCTGAGCAGTAACTCAACTTCCTAAAGACTGCTACTGAGAAGTGGAAAGCCCACAGGTTCTGAGCTAACTCCTCCTGCCCTGTCTACCCCCTGGGAACCTGGGACATCTACCTACCACCTTCCCCAGCTCTTCCTGTCCCCTCTGTTGTCATCTTTTCCTTTGATGTCCTTGGAACTTTGCTCGTTTCCCTACTCCCTGATTTCCATCCTGCATTCCCCTCATTCATCCTTATTCTCCCTGCCCCACTGCTGAGCTTTGGCATTCCCTTTTGCTAACACCTCCCCTTCAAGTTTTTAAATTCATTACGGTTGAGGAGGAAGTGTGAAGGGGCAGGAACAACAGGGGCACCCAGAGATATAAGCAGTCAGCCCACTCATCATCATGCAATGCTCCTATTTCCAGGTGCACTCAGTAAGAATTCTAAAAAGAAAAGGACAAGAAAGCTGCAGTAAGGCAAGAGAGCCCTGTTAGTCCCTGGTCATCACCCTTTTGTCAAAGGTTCTGGGCCACAAGTGCAGCAACACAGGGGTGGTCTTAGAGCCCCACCAGCCCCATAACTCCGTGAGTCCCAGATGAGGACTCCTCAAGCTGACACTTTCAGTATCTCTCAGGGTACCCAATTCCTAGTCGATCCAGAAACTTGTGTTTGAGTTGTAGGGGTTTATAATACCAGTATTTAGTGAGGGCTTACTATGTGTGTGGCACTATCCTAAGAGCTTTACATGCAATATTTTATTTAACTCCCACAGAAATCCTACAGTGTAGGTTCTATTGTTATGTCCATTTTCCAGATGAGCAAAGTGAGGCCCAGAGAGGTGCAGCAACTTGTTTGAAGCCACACAGTAAGTGACACATCGGGATATGAATCCAGGCAATCTAAGGCATATACAGCTGGAATACTAAAATGAATAAAAATCGCTTTCCTTCAAAGATTGTACAGTTTAGTAAAGGCAGACTATGATAAGGATTCTAAAGGTCTAATTACCAAAGTGTTATGGGAGGGGTGCAAATGAGGAAGAGTACATCAGATTGGTAGCTGACAAAGAGCCTGATGGCTTTGAGTCCTCACAACCAACAACACTATCTTCATAGGTTTATTAGGCATAATTAATGTTTGCTGATATAAAGAATAAGTAAAGCAAAATCTCAAGAGACGATAACACCTAAAAGCTGTATAATTCTCTAAGAGTTTACAAAACACTCTTACACAATTGTGTCACTTTATTCTTTCAACAACCCTGTGAGGAGATAATATTTTACCTATATGTGAATAAGAAACCTTGGTAAGGTCATCTCTGGCTCACAAGCAGTTGATGAACTAAATTAACTCATGTAAAGTCCATAGCCTTTACAAAGTCATGGTGAGAGCTTCGTCACTTCTAAAAGGCCCTAAGAGATTTAATGCCATATTCATGGCCGCGTAGAGCTTAAAGAGCAGAGCTAGAACTAGAATTTATATCTCTGATCCCAAATGTATACTCTTTCCTCTGGCTGGCTACAAAAATCACTGGAATATAACTTTGAAAACCAGAAAGTGTTTTGCTTTCACTTTGTTAATGTTCAAAAACAAAAACCACAGCGGTGAAGAATACTGGGATATTGACTCCATATCCTGATGGAAAGATAAATTCCTAGAATTGGAATGCCATATTTGAATCTCCCTTTTAGGACATTCCCACACCTAAAGTTCTTCTTTATCTTCTTTACCCTCTACAATATTATCTCTTTTTTTTTGCAGTCTAAAAATAAGAA